CACGCTAATCCACAGGTGACAGCCCGTGGAAATCTGCTGGTAAATCTGCCAGCGAAACAAGATCCCGTTTGTTTGAGCCGAGGTGGTGGATCAAACCCTTCCTCGTTCACTCCGGCTCGTTTGACAGAGGTATGATTGATGGCAGCAGGACTGGCTCGAGGCAGAACACAAATCCATGGCCGGAAACCGTGGCCCCACTGAAATCGCTGGGACAAAAACTGCCATTGACTTGGCTGGAGCTGTGATTTCCACAGAGCTTCGAGCCAGAGAGGGACCGCTCAGAGCCTCCACCCTGACCTCCTGCATAACTCAGACCCTAGAATTGTGCTTGCTGCTTTGTTCGGAGGAGGGAATTACATTCCCGAGGAGGAATTTTTTGTGTTGCCATTTGCTTTGTCTTTAAACTGGAGAAGAAAAAAAAAAAAGAAAAGACTTGGGAGTTTGGAGCTTTACTCAAGCAAGCTGTGCGAAGAGGCTGCCATTGTTTAGTTTCATTGTTTAGGACCAGTTTTAGGACCAGGAAATCCTCCAGGGTTGGCTCTTGCCCATAGCGTAGGAGAGCAAAGGGTTGCATTTGAGCTGTTAGAAACGTGCCGGGTTATTTCCCTGCCTTTCCTAGAAGGGACTCAGAGTGCCCAGTCTAGGTGCTACGGTGGTGATTTAGAGGGACGATTGTTCCTTCTGCATAGGGTGACGTAACGAGGCATTAATCATCTATGAAGCCGAAAGACTTGAAGGACCGGGAGATGCCCTGTAGGTCGGTGAGTCCAGCAGCAGTCACAGCAGGTCATTCATTCGATGCTTACAAAGAGAAATCCAGGTCAAGGAGGCCTTTGGAGGTCTCTAGCCCAGCCTCCTGCTCAAATTTGGGCCAGCTTCCCAGATAAATCAGGTTACTCATGGCCCTAGTGTTTGACTGCTGGTTCCCACCGTGTCCCCACCAGTGCACAGTGCCCAGCCCAGCGCCAAATCCAGCTCTCTGGGCACAGCAGGCAGAAGACAGCATCAGGAAACCTGCCTCACCGTGCGGCAGAGAAGCCTGAGCATTGCTCCAGGTGTTATTATTTGGGCATTTTTCTTTAGGAAGCAGAATCCAGAGGGCACTGGGCACCAACCACCTTGGCTGCCCTTTGGCAACCCTCTCTGTCCCATCCCTGCCACCAGCTACTGACAAACTCTGCTCCCCACAACAGGGCATGAGCGACCCAGCCAGAAACGCTCCCCCCTGCTCACTCAGCAAACACCTTCCCTCCTTCCTCAGGAGCCTCTGGCATTCTTCACATGCTCTCACACTGCCCCTACCTCCTGCTGGGTGCAAACTCCACCGTGCCGGCCCCACGGTCAATAAAAGCAGTAAAAAAAACCCTCTTCAGGCTCACGAGGCTGGAGTGGATGCAGATCCCCGGGCCTCCTCTCCTCCAGGCTCAGCTTAATTAGGGAGCAGCTAGCAAACCACAAAAGGAGCTTGCGTCTGAAGGGCTTTGACTGCAGCTCTTTGCAACCAGTCGCAAACATCTGGTGCCTGGCGAGCCTGCCGGCCTCTTGGAAGGGTTTTGCAACCAGAATATCCCTGTAGCTTGCACCTGAATTCCCCACAACGCACCCTGGAGGGCTCAGGTCCCTCCTCTGGCTCCTTCTCTACGCTGCCAGCTTTGAAAAAAAAAAAAGAAAAAAGAAAAAAAAAACTATTTCTGGTACTGCTTTCCCCACCATAGCCCCCCTCAAAGCATCAGAAATGCAACGCATGGTCCGATAGGGAGCATTTATTCCCCGAGCTGCCCCTCGGATGTTTGCAGGTTGAGAAGCAGTCTTGCAAAATGGAGCGATAGCTCTGGCTCCAGTTGTATTGTCAGGATGAATCAGAGCCCTCTGCGCAATTTCTGACTCAGAGGAAGAGGGAGAAAGGGCGATTCTCTTCTTCTCTTTTAGGAGCCCCTTTCCCATTCTCTTGTGTGCAGCTGTGCTCAAAAGCCCGTCTCGGGGAGGCTTCCTTAAGCATCCAGCGAGGACCAAATGAGCTCATGCGCAGCCTGTAATGATGGCAACTACCAGAAATTGTTCCCATCTGAGAGCTGCCCGCTGCTGCTCCATCCAAAGCGGGCTGCTGACCTCAGAAGAAATCCCAGGGGGCGAAATACCACATCACAGCGGCTCGCCCCGCCGCAAGCCCCGCTAATTGCCCCCTTGCCTGCAGGCTCCGAGTGAGAGCAGCCTCTAAAGGGCCGGGGAGCTGTGCTCTCAGGGACATGCTGCGGTACCGAGGGGCTTTCTCCTTAAGCCTCATTCCCAGCATGGTTAGGGACATGCTGTCCCTGTCCCTGCTGCGAGGTGCCTTTGGGCTGAGGAAGCCCAGACCTGTGGTTTTCCATCTCAACGTTCGGGTCCCTCTGCCCCTAACACAACCCCAGGAAAGCCAATAGAGATCTTCCCACCCACGGGGGCAAAATCTACCAAAAAAGACAGCCAAATGTCACAAAACCAGACCCCGTCTGTGTGGGAAGAGGCAAACCTGCCATGAATTTGGATGCTTTGGCTCAAACTAAGCCCAAAACGGGCTCTCCAAAACCTGCATGCCTCTGTTGTCACTGCATTTCCACAAGACTGATGAAATTACGCCCAGCTCCCTACTGCAGCTCTTATTCCCCCGTGAAGGCTGCGAGCAGCAGCGTGGTAAAAGGATCGTGATGGGTAAAAATTACTCTTCCATTTAAGACCCACTCACGGCAGCTCGTGCAGCTGGCACCCAATTAATGGCATCCGCTGGAAACCGTGCGGAAGCCGAGCCACCGGCGAAGGGAACAGCTCGTTTCCACGAGGGGGTCTGGCTGGAGGAAGGAATCAGGCGTTTTCCTCCTGTGGGGTTGTGTTTTCTTGGGGGCAGTCGCCTTCGTGCAGGTGGGATTCCTCCCGCAGAGGAAGGGTGAGACCTCTCGGATCAACCCGGGCAAAAAGGAGGGGGAGGCTGGATAATATTTGGGCAGCAAAGGGAGAGCACTGTTAGGTGTAGGTGTTGAATGCCATTTGGGGCGCTGCTGGGTGTCCAAGGCGTCTGTGTGGGGCTGGCACACGCGGCACCGGCCCTACAGGGGTCCTGCTCCCCCCTGGGATAGCGGCGGGGGCCTTTTGGGGCACCCCGGGGCACAAGAAGTGGCCCTGGGTGCCTGCGCTTGGCCATTTGACAGCTCCCCCGGAGCTGCACGTGTTTGGACAGTTGGAGTTAATCAGCAAAGGGAAACGGAGCTGCAGCTAACGAGCTGAGCACCAGGAGGTTTGTTAGAGGACGAAACGGGACAGGGTGAGGGCACGAGAGCCACATGGAGGAGGTTGAGGGTAGGAAATCCCCAAATCCCCGCGTCTCCCTGCACAACGCATCCCAGGAGAGCGGCTCGGGGAAAAAGGGGTTTCCAGTTCCCATTGTGCCACACCGGAATGACAGCAGGGGACGCAGGGACAGGGCGGAGAATTTCTGCAGGGTGTGAACTGCTGGGTTTTGAGCCGCTTATGGGTTCCACGTGTCCAAGCGCTTCCCAGACACGTCCCCTCCGCGTGCTGTGCAGCCCCGTTCCCCCCTCTGCGGTCCACACGGGCATCTGGAAGCGCAGAGGGATGTTTCGGAGGCCCACGTGGCGGGCTCCTGCTTGACCCCTGTTGTTGTCAGCGGGAGTTTGGGCCCCAAACTTCCTTTTGGAGCCTTTGAAGCTCAGCTGAAGCTCGCTGAGGGCTCGGAGGGGAGACAGGCTTCACATTCAGCTCGCAAGTTCCCGGCTTAACCCTTTCACCCCAAACCCGTCCTATCTCGGCAGAGAATATAATAGGGATTTCTGTGCTCTGTTTGGGCCTCATGGCTTTTACGCAGGGACTCATTTTTCCACGGGATGAATCCATCAGCCCTCCAAGGGCGTAAAACCCAGCCCTTCAAGCTCCCCATCCCCTTGGCTCCCTTCCTTTCTTTGCCCTCCCACCACGGGAACAACCCCGGGGACACCGAGCAACTGCGCGCCCTGGGGGGGGGCACCAAAATTTAGCACAGTGGGGCTGTCCACTCGTAGAAAGGAAGAAAAAAAAAAAGCAAAATACAGAAAGACAACTCTTGGAAGCTCCCACAAACACAACTATTTTCAACGCTCATGCCCCTAGTGAAGAGAAAACGCCCGGGTCCCCGCTGTGGCGTGCTTTATTTTCGAGCTCTCGCCTCCCCTAGGAGCTTCATCGGTGCAAAACCAAATCACGCCTGCTGTTTACTTATCTCGGGAGCGCTGACACTGGCAAGAGGCTTATCTTGGCGTGGCAGGAGCCAGCTCCTTCCTTGGGGGTCGGGCAGGAAAACTCCGCAGGAGCTGCCTGGAGTGGCAGAGGGAGCAGAAATCAGGGAGAGCTCTGCTGCCTCGGCTCCTGGCCGAGGGAACCAGCCCCGAGCCTCCCTCTTTGCTCGGGGCAGCGTTGGTTTTGTCTGTATTTTATTTTGAGGTGCCAGCAGCTGGGGTCAAAGCCGGGCTGGGGACCCAGCACCCCAATATTAACCCACACCCCGACACCGACCCGCACCCCAAGCAGCTGCCCTACAAAGCGAGGCTGCCTTCGCCCCTCCGAGCTCTTCTCTGCCCTGTGGGGTCGGCCCAGCTGCCCACCCTCGAAGGGAAAAAAAAAAAAAAAAAAACAAAACTCAGATAGAAATTTAATATTAAAACAAAAAGCACCGAATCCCGGCTTTCCGTCCTTTTTTTGCGGGTGGAAAGCGCGCGGGGAGAGCCGGAGCCGGCTCCATCCCCGCCTCCCTGCGGGGAACGGGGATGGGGAAGGGGAAAAGGGCTCGGGGAAGGGGCTCGGGGAAAGGGAAAACGAAAAAAAAAGGATCGGGAAAGGGGAAGGGGAAAGGGGCCGGGCCGGGCGGAGCGGGGCGGAGCGGGGCAGCCCCCGGCGCGGCTCCGGGAGGGAGCGGAGGGCAGGGACGCGGGCAGGGCTTGCGAGGAGGAGCCTCACCCCCTGCTTCTCCCCCGCAGATCTTCCAATGGAGGCAGCTGGAGAACCTCTATTTCCGCGAGAAGAAGTTCTCGGTGGAGGTGCACGATCCGCGCAGGTGAGAGCCGAGCCGTGCCGGGCTCTCCGTGGTGGTTTTTTTTGGGGGGGAGGAGGGCTCGCTTCCAGCCGGGGGCTGCTCCTTCTTTTCTCGGGCTTTGGAGCTGCTCTCGCCCTTGTGTACCTCCCTGCTTTCCCCTCCTAGCGGGATTTTTTTCCTTCCCTCTGCTTCGGTACCCCCATCCCGCTGGGAGCTGGGCGCCCCGTTTCGCACCCACGCCGCTTTGGATGTAAATATCCAGCAGTTTGACGGACAGCAATGGCACCGGACCAGGGGCAGGCTGGATGAAAGCCCATCGGTCTGTTCAACAAGGAGTTTTGTGTGTGTTTTTTTTTTTCATATTTTAGAGACTTAACGTGGGAGAGAGCGAGCTGAAGGGACCGTGCTGCATGTAAAACCTGCACCCCCTTGCTCATCTGCGTTACTGCGGGCACTGCCCAGCGTGTGCACTGCTCCCTAAGCTCTTCCCACTCAAATCCATCTCCTCCTTGCACGGTAAACGTGAACGCAGCTGATAGAAACCCGCTCCCTTCCCCGGGCCGATTTGATGGGCTGCTGGCAGCAGCGTGTTTTGCTGATCAGTCAGCTGTGATCCTGTTTCACCTGTTTCCCGTGCCGATCTGTGTACTAATCCCTGGGCTTTTTCTGGGGGAAATTTTGCATGCAGCTTCTCCCTGCGTCTGCCCTGCCCGCAGCAGGGTCACGCCGACACAGCGGTGCCTGTGTCCCCAGGTAGGTTTTATCAAAGCAAAAACCGAGCGGAGCAGCTGATACCAGGCTGCAGCTCCGGGTCAGCAGAGCCTCGGAGCATCTGCTTGATATTAAGCATGGAAATAGTCGCATGAAATCCAGCAGAGCCAATTCCCAACGTCGGGAACGCTCTGGGAGCTCTTCCAACAGCAGGAGCCGGGGCAGGGGGCGTTCATTTCCTCCACCAAACCTTCGTCAGAAATGTGGGCTGGGAGCAGCCAGCTGCAAGAAGCCCCCAAACGCCCAGGCTGGCTGGCAGCTTGCTGGAAGCAGAGATTGCAAGGAGGAGAAAGCAAATAGCTCCAGGACGCTCGAGGTGTGATGATATTTGCCACTCAGGGTCACGCGTGAAACGTGACCACCCGGAGGAGCTTCTCTTTCCAACCCTGTGCCGTTTGTGTTCAGAGGGCAGGAATTCCTGACGCTGGAGAGCTGCTGGGTTTTATTCCACTGGTGCTGTTCCTCTGAATTAACACCGGGAAGACAAAACCCTGTCCAGCGTGGGTTGTTCTCAGCCTGGTGCTTCCTCTCTGCAGTCAGCGTGGTTGAATTTTGCAGCCTGAGAGCACCACCGCTGGGCTCAAACGGGCACTCTGGCACGTTATCAGTGGCTTTTTCTCTCTCTTAAGCAGCCTGGCAATGTGGTGGGAGCACGGCTCAGGTTGTAGCAGCCTCCAGGCCGAGGGGGAAGGACCCTGCAAGGCGGAGGACTGGCCAGCACAGTGCTCCCTCCGCATTCCTCTCCCTGTAGCCAAACCAGAGCCTGAGTCAGCAAAGCCACGCTCGCAGGCACGGGAGGGCCAGCACGGCTCCGTGCTTGTGGCCAGGGCTGGGCAGCACAACGCATGTTTCTCAGCCCTGCCCCTGCCCGTGGCTTCCTGTCCCGAGCAAACCCTTTAACCTCTCTTCGTCTTGGTTACTTATCCCATGAAGGAGTATAGGATGGCACCAGGATTAAGGCTCGGGTTAGTGTTTGAGCGCCTTAAAGCTTCAGAGCCTCGTACGCCGCTGTGCTGCAGAGGTTGGTGTCCCTTAAATCACCACAAAGCATCCAGAGCTGAATCCCCTCTCCAGCCTGGATCCAGGAGCACCTCCCTGCACGGCCCTCGTTCCCCATCCAGCGATGGGGATTCAGGAGCATGTTTTGCAGCGCTGAAAAGTCCCTGACAGGAGAGCTGTGTCCCCCGTTTCCCAAGCAGATCCTGGCCAGCAGCTCCCATTTCTCGGCAGGGTTTTGCTTTTCTTTCATTCTTGGCTCTGTCACCGCTCCCTTTCCCCACGTGCCTGCCCTGCACTCCACCTTCACCTCTGGTTTCGAACAGCTCCCGGGCACGCCAGAGGAGAGGTGGCAGGAGGGGAACCAGTGTTTGAGCAGATTTGAGGACTTCAGAGCGCTGGGCAGAGAGTCAGCCAACCCCTGCACTTCCCAGTAGAGCTCCTGCAGTGTCACCTCCACATCTGCACTGCACAAAGGGGCTGCAGAGCCCCTCCATAGCATCCCCTGTTCCCTTTCCCCCTTCCCCTTCCCAATCCGTGTCCCTATATCAAAGCCCATAACAAAAGCATCCCATTTCTGACCTAGCCTGCGCTCTCATTCAGGGCTTTGCTGGTGGGGTTAGAGTTGAAGGATGGGACAATCAGGCAGTTGTGTACAGCTGTGAAAGCAGGGGGAAATCCTAACCTGTATTTTTTTGCTAATCTTTGAGGACAATTGTGAGTTCCAAAGAGGAAACAGCTCTCATTTTTCCTGTTTTTATATTCACTCAGCTAATCTCTGAGTAGCACTCTTCTCTCCAGGGCACTGGGCAGCCCTCTGCAAGCCTCACAACTTCCCAACCCACATGGCAGGCCCTGCTGCATCCGCTTACCAGTGGGGAAAGCGAGGTACCTGAAGAGCTTCTCCCACATCCTCTAAAGCAGCCGTCGATCCTGGGGCTCTTTGGTTGTCACCAGGATCCTGATATTTGAGATCCACCACCCAGAGGCAGTGGAGGGTGTGAGGATTTGGCCTCGAGTGGCTCAGCATGGGATGAGGCACGCAGGATTCACCTGAACTTTGGCATCAGTGACTCTTGTGGCCGGTGTCAGCTCGGCTGAAGCCAGGAGTCCGGTTCATACTGGACAAACTGGAAGATCTTTCCTGGTAGACCTCCGGTGCTTTCTAACTGGAGGAGTCATCTAGAGTAGAGGCTGTCTGGATTTGAGCAGCAATTTCCCTCTGCTCTCTAAGCATTTTTCTCTGCTTTTCCTCTGAGGTCTGTGGTTGTTTTCTGAGGCAGGACGCATCTGAGGAAACCGTGGTGTAACCCCAGCTCATTCTTTCTTTCTCCCTAGGGCATCTGTGACCAGGAGGACCTTTGGGCATAGTGGCATCGCTGTGCATACGTGGTACGCCTGCCCAGCGCTGATAAAATCTATCTGGGCTATGGCCATTAGTCAACATCAGTTCTACCTGGACAGGAAGCAAAGCAAGGTAAGCACATTGGAGGTGAGGAAGTTTATGCGTTGCGTGAGTCGTTCTCACCACCCAAGCACCCAGCAAGGTCCAGGTGGCTGCTTTGCTGCCGTCCCTTTCCACGTGAGGTCAAAGAAGGGCAAAATAGCTCAAAATGCCTGCTGACTTTGGCCAGGTTGAGGGAATTTGTGATGAATTCGTGTCTGTGGGAGTGAGGTTTGAAGGGAAAGTTGGACTGAACTGTGGCCAACGTGGGGAAGCCAAAGTTTGCAGGCAGATAGGGTCGTGTCCATGTCTGGTTTCCACACATCTTCTGGTTCTTGAACTCTGTCATAAAGTTGAGGCAGCTTCCAAGAAGTGAGTGCAAAGCAACTTCAGGCTACACACCTGCCTCTGAGTTCTTCTTGCTGTCCTTTGCTTTTTACTGTCGTTTTTTTCCCAGAAATGAGGGGAGGGGCATGATTTCTGTCTCTCCATCACAGCAGCCGGGGGCAGGCTGCTGACAGCCTGGTCTTACAAGGAGCTGTCCTGAGGTGGTGCCACACAAAGGGCTGCTCAACACACAAAAGAAACCACCTTGAAGCCAGAGGAGCGTGTGTATTCCCTCTAATTCTTTTCATCAGCAGTAATTTTAGGCATACCCAGAGCAGCAGGAGATGGCTTTGATCACTTTAAGATCACTTAGAGACAGAAGGGAGGCTTCTCATACAGACGTCCCTCTTCATACGAGCCTGCTGGTGCAAAACTTTACAGATCAGATAAAAGCTGTATCGAGTGGGTGCCTGCTTGTGAACATGGACAAAATTGCAAACTCACCTGATGGTAAGGAAGGGTTTCCAGTCCCCCACTTCTACTTAGCACCACCAGGGCAATGCCACCACCCTCCCCGTTTTGCCCAGCTCTTGCTCTCCATAAAACAAGCCCACAGTCAAATAAGAGTTTAGATTTATTATTTTTTTTTACTTTTAGCCAGATGGATTTGCTGATCTAGCTGCAAGGTATTTAGGTCACTAGCAAGCAACAAACAAAAGGAGATTCCCGCTCCTCCCATCTCTTTGGTAGGATACTGGGTCTTTTAAATGCCCGGGACTTCCCTTCAGTGACTTCTTTTGTTGCTGGCAGATTGTGTTTCAATCCCAGCTCCCCTCTCCCACACCCCTACAGCCAGCACCACCCACCAGCCCTCCTTGGTCAATCTGTCACGTCTGCCTCCGTGTCAGAGCGTTTTGTCACAATAACCCCAGCGGTCACGCTGAGCCTTTGAAGTTAAGGTACACAAACATTTTGGTGCCTTTTCCTTAAGGGAGCTGCTGTTTCAGCCTGTTGTCCTCATCTCTGACATGACACCGTCAGGATTGATAGATCCATCCATTTTAAATGATCCGTTCAATTCATCCCCTCTGGTCACTTCAGGACGCTGTATCCGTGTGCACTTCGCTTTTGAAAACCAGTAAAGCATGCTCTAGAGGGGGCTGATGTGAAATGTCTTTGTTTCAGCTCTCAAGAGCTCAGGCAAACATTTGAGTTTCAAGTCACGTGGCTCCCCATCCCCTTAAATCAGAGTCCCCACTTCAGATGAATCCCCAGCTTCAAAGCGAAACTTAGACACCCCCTGCTTTTATGTCCAAACTTGGCATTTCACGTGGTTTTGACAAAAGAAGGAAGAATAAAAATAAACTGAGAAGAAAAAGCCTGCTGGAACTCATTGAGCCATCACCCCAGTGATTAGATGGCAGGAGATAAGACAGTGATGAAGCAAGCTCGAACTCCGTGCTCCTCACAGCACCATGCACCAGTTGGATCTGGACCTGCTGCACAGCCCCGCTGGTGAAGCCTATTTATGCGATTTTAAAATGAGACCAAATCAGCTCGCATGCCTTTTGCTCCTTTTGCAAGGAAGCGAGGTCCCAGCCTTCCCCGCGGTCTCGCTCCACATTGAACTCCTGCCAGCTCGCCCCGTTCCCAGCGGCTCGCTCCCTGCTGATTTCTGTCTGCGTCTCCGTGCAAAGTGCAATGGAAGCTCTGAAAACATCCCCGGCCCTCTGAGCAAGCATGCCAGCGTGCAGAACTCCCGTCAGCTCTCCTTTCTGCACGAGACAAATGTAGCAGGACTCTAAGCCGTGCCTTTGCTCTGCTGGCTGCACCGAGTTGATCAAACGCTTGCCCTAAAAGCCCCAAAAAGTTTCCTTTTGTGGAAATTCCCAGCAGCACATTCCTCCGAGTGCAGGGCTCTCTGGCTGAAAATAGGCAGAAAATAGGTCTGGGCTTTCAAAAAAGCTCAAACACCTGCAGCCAGACCCCATCGCTGCAAGCAGGAGGGATAAATTCGTCCCCGATGTCCATCCACTCCTGCGTCTCACTGATGGGTTTTCCCTCACCCCGTGACCCTGCCAGAACAGCACTGGGGATCCGTTTGGCCCTGTGCTTTGCAATGACTCATGAATGAGCTCGTCTCCTCTGCCTAAATGAGACTTGGCAGCTCTGCACTAAGTGCTTCACGTTGTGTTTCTGCCTAGAGGGACTGCAGGGCCCGAGGGAGGGTTAATGGGCTGTAATCTCGCTTTCCACCATTGTGCTGCCCTACAAAGTCTAGCCCAGGCCTTGCTCTAAGCTGCTGCTCGGTGGCCTGTATGAAATGAGCTGTGGCTCTGATTTCTGCCGCTGCTGAGTGGCTGTCCAAGTACAAGGCCACCCAACAGTGATTGGCACCTCTGGAGTCAGCAGACAGCAGGGAAAGTCTACCCCGTTCCCCTCAGGAGATGCCCCACCCCCTCTGGTTCATACAGGGCACCATACAAGGCCAACAGGATCCTGGTGTGCATTAACAGGAGCGTGGCCAGCAGGTCAAGGGAGGTGATCCTCCCCTTCTACTCCGCCCTGGTCAGGCCTCACCTGGAGTACTGTGTCCAGATCTGGCCTCCCTGGCACAAAAAAGACAGGAATCTCCTGGGAAGATTCCAGCAGAGGGCCACAAAGATGATACGGGGTGTGGAGCATCTCCCCTGTGAGGAAAGGCTGAGAGACCTGGGTCTGTTCAGCCTGGAGAAGAGAAGACTGAGAGGGGATCTTATCAAGGGGTACAAATACCTGAGGTGTGGCAGACAGAGGGATCTGGCCAACCTCTTTTCAGTGCTCTGTGGGGACAGGACAAGGGGCAGTGGCCACAAAATGGAGCCCAGGCAGTTCGGCACCAACACGTGAAAGAACTTCTTCACGGGGAGGGTAACGGAGCACTGGGACAGGCTGCCCAGGGAGGTTGTTGGGTCTCCTTCTCTGGAGATATTCAAGGCCCGTCTGGACACCTACCTGGGCCTAGCCTGCTGTAGGGAACCTGCCTTGGCAGGGGGGTTGGACCCGATGATCTCTGGAGGTCCCTTCCAGCCCCTACAATTCGGTGATTCTGTTAGCACAACTGCAGTCAGATCCAACACCTTCCCCACCAGCAGATCCGCATTGCTCCCTCTGCAGAGGAACCTCACTCCTCCCTGCTGATCCCCCGTGTGCTCTCTTTTGGTTTGCTTTTGCCCCGTGCGGGCTGCAGGGGTGCCAGGCTTTGGCCTTACCCTACAATTTCATTTCCCCACTGCGCTCTTACAGCTGCTGCTGGCTTGCTGTGCTGGCCAGGACCGCAGCACCCAGCTGCCCTGCCTTCGCTCAGCGTTTTCCTCAGTGCCTAGTCAAACAGGTAGGGCCAGAGCGTGCTCCAATTTGTAGTCTGGATGAGTGAAAATAAACTACAGGGCTTCCCACTGTAACTGCCCTACAAGTACAGGAAAACCACGGCCTCACAGAGTGGGAGGAAGGGACCTGTCTGTGCAGACGTGGGGTTTGTAGCCTGTCCTAGACAGCCACTGCAAAGAGTCAGTCTGTTGAGCTAGGTATGACCAGTATGGGTATTCCTGGGGTATAACCCTATATAACTGTAGGGTTATACAGCATATATACCTCTGTGGGTGATAAATCACCGGGGTGGCAGCAGCTTTGTTGCCTCCAAAGGTCTGGCACTGCAACAAAACAGCAGTTCACGCTCAGGCTCCTTATCGAAACTCAAGCTGGAGGAAATCTCGTTAGATAAAGGCAGTGGCTTTCCTCTTCACCTAAACCTAACCTTCCCGAGCTGCTTGAAGAACATTTTTCACAAACCTTGTGGCATCTTATTTCTGACCAGAAACCTCAGATCCAGAAGCAAAAATAATGTTATCTTTCTCTCTGGGCTGAGCCTGGGGAGGAGTTGCTGGAAATGAGAGGTTTTTGTCTGGCTGTAGCATTAGTTTAGGATGCTCAGTCCTGGTTGTCTGATCTGCTCCGAGATCTTGGCAGGTAGCTCTGCCTTTCACTCAGATGAGTGACTGCACACCCCTTGTTCTTAGGGCTGTTGTGGAAATAAGCTTGTGAGGCATTTGGGTACCTCTGACTGGTAATGGCAGAGCCTATAAATACCCAGGAATATTACATTATAATGGTACTTCTGTGGGTGCTCTCAGTACGAGGCTCTCCCACTGCTGTCTTCATTTGCAGTCTTAAATTAATCTTAGAAATACAGCGTGCAACAGGGAGACATTTTCCTTCCCTCATTATCTCCTTGATGTGCAAACAGAGGCAGAGGATGGCTGGGATCTTAACCTTAAGTGCCCTACCCAAAGCCCCACAGCAAATCAGTAACAGAGCCACGAGTGAAGCTCGACGTGGTGAGCATTCAGCCTTTGGTCCATCCTTAGTTCTTGTTAGAATTATCTTTTCTTTCTGAGGATGTGAAAGAGTGCTGAAAATCCCATCACGGCCAGCTTTCCCTGTGCTCCCATCCCGTGTTAGCTCCGGTGGGAACGGATCACATCCTGATACATGGGTGTCCATCAGCTCCTGATTTATTGGTGCTGTAACACATCACGTACAACCAGAGATGAGAATCTCTTCTGGCTTTGCAGAGCTGAATGGTGATCTTACGGAGAGGCTGGTGATCTGGTGATCTCTGGTGGTCACTGGGTCTTCACCACCCTCCCAAACAAAAGTTTACGTGCAGCCTTGGCGCGGTGTGCCCACAGCTTGCTAGGTTCTGGGAAATGGAGATCCCAGGTTGGTGGCCCTGGGAGCCAAAGCTAATTGGAGCTCAGCAGCTCGAGGCTTGCAAGATTTGGGCAGCGGGCTGAACTCCAAGCTCTCTCCCAGGAGGTTTGGTGATTCAGAAGCCAGTTTCCAGATGGGAGATGGAACGGAGATGGAACGGCAGTCATCTCTGTGTGCAACGCACAGCATGTTACGGACAGCGAGCTTCCTCCTGACTCATCTTCCTCCTCGTTATCGTGGTTTGTTAGCCGAGGCGAATTCAGCAACCAGCACATAAAACAGAGCTCAGAACATAAGCCGGTCCTTAATTCAGAAGAGGCAGGAGGGATTTTTTTCATGTGGACAGATGATTCCACAGTGGCTTAGTGAAAATTTCCTCACATTTCTCTCTGAAGCGCTTGAAGATGACCTCAGTCGGAAATGGGATACAGGACTAAAGAGCTCTGGGGGTTGTTCTGATGTAGCAGCTGCTATTTTAGGGCGATCCAAAGGCTGTACTGGTTAGAAAAAAGGCTGGAAAATTCTTATGGCCACCCAAGTCACCATCACATGCAGAGTTCGTCCTCGCAGTACTTCTGGGGCTGTCACTGAAGGGCCATCCCCATCAGCTGTGATCGATGTGCTTGAGCCTCCTGTCTATGTTCAGCACTCCCAAGACGCTGCCAGCAACACAAAGCAGAAATAGATGCAAATAGATACGAAGCAGAAATAGATGGCAATCCACTGACCGTGGGGTTTGGATGGCAGAGGCAAGGCAGCCGCTAGGACTGGGTGAGCCTGCACCCAGCCTCTGCGCTCGGTGCCACCAAGATGAAGTCTTTTTTCCCTGAGATGGGTTTTCTTTCCCCTGGAGGCGCCTAAATTGTTGACTGGTGGTGCACAGTGGGTGACTCCTTGTCCCAGCACGGCCAGTTCCCGAGCTGGGGCTGGCTGTTTTCTTACTGGAGTAATGTTATCCCTCTGGAAAAGTCCCCCAGGTAGGTGCGTTGCATGCTGCTCGTTAGTCTGGACCAGAACCAGAACATGTTTTCCTGCCAATATTTTCTTCCAGCTCCTCATGACAGCCCGTTTAAGCCACATCCTCACGTTGTGTTGGTCCAGAGCTCATAGCGGAGTTGGAAAGACCCCTCCTGGCTTCCTTCAGTTGCTAGAGGTGGTCTTTAGCCTTCAGGCTTTGCAGTTGATTACATTAGCATTTCTGGAGGTTTCTTATTGTGTGTGCTAGCACAGTGAGTCCATACACAGTTTAAGAGGGAAAAATGTCCGTGGCAAAGCAGAGAAAGTCACAAACAACAGCAAGCCATGCCAGAATTGCACCCACTTAAGAATGTGAGAAGTGCAGCAGTGGACGCAGTGCCAGATTGCTTCTGTTCTTGTAAAATAATCCGAGTTTGCCGTGGAGGCCCGTTTCCTGCCACAGGGAAACGACTCCTTGCTTCTGTGAGCTTTAAAGACGTGCTAGGTAATTGCTAACTCTCGTGTCCCTGTCCAGTCCAAGATCCATGCTGCAAGGAGCCTGAGTGAGATTGCGATTGACCTGACGGAAACTGGAACGCTCAAGACCTCAAAGCTGGCCAACATGGGGAGTAAAGGCAAAATCATCAGCGGCAGCAGCGGGAGCCTTCTGTCATCAGGTAGGTCCTTCATCCTGTAACGAGAGAACGCGGTGGGAAGGGCCATGGCTATAATGTCATGGGGAGCTGCCAGAAGCTGCACTGCAGAAATGAAAGCCGCTTCCCTTCAGCCTTTCTGCCTGTCCAGGTGTCAGTTTGTCTCTCAGCGTGTTGCCCCCCGACCAGCACAGGCCACAGCCTCCCCACTGTCTCGTTACAGCTGCTCCTTTCCTCTTTGGCCCCAGGATGTCATCTCCAGCCTCTCGCTTCCTCCCTGTGACCTGGTCTCTCTTCACAGTCCCCGCTGTGATCACCCAGCTCGTCCCAGGCTGGTTGCTGCCCTAGGCAGACGTGTCCGTGATGCAGTCCCCAGAGAGCAGTGGGGAAGCAGTCAGCCAGTGCAGCTGACAGGGGAAACTGAGGCTGTGAAAGAAACTCAAGAGGAATGGAGAAGGGACAGAGCTAGAGCATCAGGAGAGAAGGAACAGGGAAGGGGAGTCCTGGAACTTGTCTATTTCTTTGAGACTCTTCTGTCAGTCTGAACAGGTCAAGCAGTGTGTAAGTGCTAAAACACTCCAGGAGCAAAAGTAAGGACTGGTAATTTGCAGAGAGCTCGGAGCTGCTCCGTGTTGAGCTCTTCAGGAGGGCAAAGTTGCAGGTATCAGTCTAATTAGTAGTTCCAGTCAATTAAATGCCCTCTGCTAAGTGTTACATCGAGTTATCGGAATTGACTGCGATGAGATCTGTAGCAGCAGAGGATAACCTCCTCGTGCTTGCCAAGGAAAAGGTCTGTGTAAGAATGCACGTGCTTTAAAACTGAACCCACAGACCAGCTCTGCATCACCGTACCCTCCATGGCTCTTAAAAGCCACCCTCTCCTGCCTGGAAAATATCCAGAAAGGGGTTAAAAAACGTGCAGTGCTTCCCGAGCTCAGCCTGCTGTGCGATTCCTTGCCCTGCCTGCAGACAGAGCTGCCTTTCTGCTCCTTAGGTCCCCCCGATACATCACACAACCCCCCGCCTGTACCTCCCATGGCTCCGGGAGCGATGCGGTAGCCGAGCAGCTCCTGGCCCGGCGTCGGGTTGTTGGAGCTCTGTGTTTGGCATTTTTTCCAGCTCTCCTGCAGGAAAGTAAATAACGCTAAGTACCCCGAGGAAGTTCGAAAGGTCTTTCCAAGATCTCGGCCTCCTGGGCACCATTCCCAAGTTTGTGAAAGCTGCTTGGTAGTAATCCTGTTTCCATGTTCACACACTAACTTGTAGCCTCCCTACAAAGCACGTGGCGGCCTGCTTTCTGCTCTCACACTGGCAGAGAGCAGCAGCCAGGTGAAAGCCAGCAGCAAGCCCAGAAAAGCTCTTGTAGGGCCAACACCTGTGCAGACAGAAGTCCCAAACAGCCACCTACACGTGCTTTTATTTCTGTATTTATTTCTGCTCACTGCTCAAAGCCATTCTGGCTGGGAACGGGGTCTGTGGACTCAGCAGGATTGCAGTAGTGACCAGACCCATGCAGAGGTCACTGAGCAGAGGAGTCATTTCTTCTGGCCTGCGTAGGTGTTTGACCCTACACCGATGCCTACTGAGGACTTTGTGAACCTCTGTTTGGGTTGAGGTGCTGCCAGCGGGCCAGGAGAGCATCGCTCCCTCTGCGTTCCTGCGTTCAGAGCTGCCTTTTAGCTCCTACCAGCTCTGGGGACAGGACTCTTCCAAAAATGTTAAGGAGCACTGCAGCACCTGCAGCTCTCTGTGCCTTCTGGAGCTAGAAGCACGCTTCTGGGGGTAGGGAAATGCAGAGAGGAGACATTTGTAGGGCAGATACCAGGGAATAGGAGACCCTGGATGTCTTCCGTATGGTCACCCAGGAGCTCCTTCCCTCGAGCCTGGCTGGCAGAGGTGACCCAGCCCCGTCCCAGTGGGTGGGAAGGGGCACTCAGTGCTTCTCCCAGTGGGCACCATCACAGCTCCATCCCAGCACTGGTGTTTCCTCCCATTGTGCCCACGTTACCGGCGCCCAGCCACAACAATGAGGGGTTATCGCGGCGCAGCCCGTGTGCCGGAGAGAAGAACTGCAAATGATGAAGTGGCCGCGGTGGATTTCCAGGCTATAAATACCCCGAGTGACTTGAAATCACAAGGGCAGAGCTGAATCTGTCGCTCCTGCCCCCACTTCCCTGCTGTTCCCTGTCCTTTTCTCCCGGAGCCGTTTCCTCCCTTCGTCTTGCTCCTCCTCGGTGTCGCTGCCACGCACCGAAGCTGCCGTGCCTCCCCTGGGTTTGCAGCAAGACTGCAAGGAAATAAGGGGTGTTGCTTACAGCCAGCACGCTTGCTGGCCAAAATCCCACTGTGCAGGGCTTTGCAGCCACTGCCCCACGTCACTTACAGTCTCAGGACACAGCAGAGGGGAAGCGGAGCCTGCTCCTGGAGCAGTGACTTCGTGTGGGCACAGTGATTCGGGACCAAAGCCCAAGCTCCTCCACGTTTTCCAGGCCCTCGATCTCAGTCAGTGTCCACTGCAGTTGTAACCCGGATCCCTGATGCCCCCAAGCTCCTTTCTTACAAGCTCACCTTTTCATTTCCGTCCTCATTTCAAGGCTTAAGAGGCTGCCCAAAACAGAGGGCTGCCGGGATGTATCTTTAGGATCTTCTGGGCCTTTTCGGGGTGTACGGGGCAAGATTTGCCTCCAAATAAAAGCTCTGCGGGCATGAACCACAATCAAATCCAGCAGATAATCATCGGGGTGAAATCAAATGAGGTCTCAGGTGGATTTATTTTCTTCAGAGCAGTCTGTGCCGTAAGAGCTTTGCAGTGATCCTAGCCAGCAAGGAGTCCTGTTATTGTTGACCTGAACCCCAAACCGAGCTGCCCGCAGGATGTCTGAGCGCATCCTGTGCGGAGCAGGGCCAGCCGGGCTCCCCACACGCCACGGAGGAGGATTTCCTATTTGTCTGGCAGAGCCCGGAGCCAGCAGCCAGCTGAGGCTGCTACGTGCTGACATCCTGGGGCCGTGAGTCAGCCCCGGCTCTGGCACGGAGCAAAAACAGGGAAACTCCACTCCCTGCTCCAGGGACAGCCTTCTGCGGGGACCTGGATGCAGTGCCAGCGCGCTGGAGCTGACAGCAGGATGTAGAGTGAAAGGTTTGTCATATCTAGAGGTGTTTTTACTGGAGCAGGAGAAACAAAATAAGAAAGAGAAGAGCTGGATGCTCCTCCTTCGCTGCTGCTCAGCCACATTGTTGCATCTCGTCTCCTCTCGCAGGTACCAGCACCAAGCCTCAGCAATTTCTGCTCTTCAGCATCCCGTCTGTCCTCCCCGTTCATCATTCACACTTACAAATAATTACAAATGACACATAATTTTCTTCCACCGTGCTGCGGGAGGTGGAGAAAATGGGGACAAACAGTGAGCCATCAGCAGGGCTCTGCTCCACAAGCCTGTGGCTCGTGTTGTTGGGCTCCTTCCCTTCAACAACCCTTACAGCAAAGCTTGTCTTGGAGCAGGCACTTCTCAACCAGGAACCCTTGTAGACCTGGCCAGGCACAGGACATCGCCTTGGTGAGATTTGTAAGTGTATGGACTCGCTTCGTGACCCCACTGATGTCACCAAGACATCACCAGGATGGGTCAAGACCCTCCCAACATCACCAGCATCGGAGGGGCCTGAAACCAGCCCCGTGGCACTGGTGGAGGAGCTCAGCTGTGAGCTGTGAGTTGAGCAGGGAGGACCACGTTCTCCCCACTTCACAGCTCCTGTTCTCCTGAACATTGGTGGAAGAAGTTGCCCAGAGAGGCCAAGAGGGTATCAGAAGGCACATAGCTCATCCACAAAGAAATAGGGAATTGTGTGGGTGCTCGGGACACCAAGACCTGTGTGCTGAGGCAGGAGCACGTACAATTTCCTTGGCTTTGGAATGAGAGGGACCAGTGCACCCTACCTGGTGTGCCTTCACAGCCCTTTCTCTTTTAGGGACATCAAATGGTCCTGAAGAAGCCTGTGGAAATGCAGGATTTGCTAAATCTTTACACTGCCAGTGGAAATGAGGCTGAATAATAATATTCACAGAAAAATTTCTCTGGATTTCTCTGGATTACTCCATTAGGAGCTAGCCCTAACGGTGGCAGCTAAAATACCTGAGCAAGCCTCCCAGTCAACCCTTTCTGTTGCAGCAGGAGCTCCTCACATCAGGGCTCATCCTTCACAACGGGTTTTTCTCAGCCCATGTTCCCCTTTGGGAGGTGCAGGGCAGCTGTGACTCAGTGAGCATCGGATTTAATAGGGCTGATTTAAGGTCGTAGCTGCTCGCTTGGCTTGGTTTGTGCTGGTCTCCGATCATGTCTTCGGTTGTTTTTTTGTGGTCTTCTGATTTGTTCTGACATTTTGGGGTCAGTTAGCACGGGATTTAGAAGTGGGTCTGTGGTCACAGCCTCGCTCGAGGCTGGATTAATACATTTTTATAAATAAAGAGCTTCTAATGGAAGCTGCAGGCACCCCCGCAGTAGAAAGCCCTGTTCTCTGTGGTTTTCACAAGCCTCTCACTCTGGTGTGATTCTCTTGACTGATCAAGTTTGCTTTTCACCTGTCAGAACAAGCAGAGAATCCAACCCCTAAAAATCTAGCAATACACCCCAAAACAGGTCAGCTGTCTTGGACAGAAACCCTGGCCCAAGCTTTCTCTTCAGGAATCCTGAAGAATGAAGTCCTGCAGTTTGCCCGAGACATCACCCAAGTCAGGTACAGTCAAGCTCACAAAGTTCATCATCACAGGGCATGATCTTTGAATGTGCCTTAAACCTTCACTGCTCTAGAAGACTTTGTGACACGAAGAATTAACCCGAAATAGGTTAATTTGAAGTGCCTCGTTAGTGCCAAGAAGGAGAGGCCGACTGGTTTCAGCAGCAACCCCACCGCTTAACTCAGGACATGACGGTGCTCTTCCACATCTCCCCCAGGTCCTTTCCTTTCAGGCAGCGGAGGCAAAAATGGCAAAACGTTCACTTTGTGAACATCTAGGCAGGGTTTTGACTGTTCATGTGTTTTTAAACGTCTCAGCATCTTCGTAGCTGTTGTGGCAACCAGAAAAAAAATGAACGGATTTAAAAGTAAATCAGAGGCTGGTGTGGAGGTGGGGAGCAGGGAGAGGAAGGAAAGAGGAAGAGCGGTTGAAAGGAAAGAGTAGATCATTAAAGTTGTCCTGAAAGATTAAAAAAAAATAAATGAAAAAGGTTGAAACATCTGCTGGAATCACGAGCAGCTTTTTTTTTTGCCAGGGCTCAGCAGATTGCTGGCAATTAGGTAAAGGAATGGAGCGGATCAGCTCTCACTAGGAGCTGTGCACCATGAAGAAGCACTAAATGCTGGGGAGGGCTTCCCCTGCCAGGGTAAATACACGGCTCCTCCAGGAGATCCTGCGACGTTCCTGCAGTGCAGCTGTGTTCGCAGGGTTTGGTTTTATCGCTCTGTGAGTGCCAAACAAGCCCAAATGAAATGGGGGCGGCCGCAGCAATGAGCAGGCACGTTACTGTGAGTTTGTCCTTCTTTGCTTGGTGATCTCCAACCTGGCTGATGTTTGGAGAGCCTTCTTCCACCTCCCCCCGCTCCAGGACAGACCAAGAAATGGTGTAACAAAGGCGGGCAGCATTTTGCAGAATAAGTGCCAGCTGTTTTCCTGCGTGAAAGCTGCAGAAAATGGTGGTGGAGGAGACCGGTGAGAGCCTTTGCTCCCCCTGGGCCAATGCAGAGCTGGTTCGTGGCACCGGCTGCCTTCCTCCTCTGTTGGTTTAGAGCAGTAGCAATGAAAGATGAAGCTGAACGCACAAATTTCACCCTGGTTTGCTGCCAAAGCAAAGGATTGTTTCTAGTTTCCTTCCAGCACTCTGAAACGGCAGCAGCGTGTTCAACCAGCTTGTGCTGAGCATCTTCACCCTACGCTGTGAGACCAAGCTGCAAGGACCTCTACAAGTCCCCCCTGACTCCCACCCTACAAGTACACCCCAACCTCGATGTAGCATCCTTTTGTGTCTGACTCCTGCAGAAAATAAAGCCCTGCTTTTTCTGTGCCATTGCTCCAGAAAGGCAGGGGACAGCACCGAAGTCACCGGGTGCTGGCACCGAGGACCCACTGAGCACCAGGAGGAAGCCCCTTGAAGCGTTATTGAGCCAAAGGCTTCTCTGCAGGCACAGATCCCCCCCCAAGAAGTTCCTGCAGGGCACTCAGATGGGCATCCAGCTGTCTAAACATTGGTGTCCTGCGCATTGTAGGTGGGTCAGAGTGTCCCATGGGCAATCCCAATGGGTCTCAAGGGGTCTTGTGTCATGTCTGCCAAGGTGAGGGTTCAGAAATTCGTGCAACCAAAATTTCCTCATTGAGATGCAGGAATTTGGATGGCAATCAATGCATCGCCACCACCCCCCAAAAAAAAGGAACCAGGAATCCCATTAATAAGTTCCCCTGAAGAACTGAAGTTACAAATGCCGTTGTGACATCTGAGCAGCAGAGTCTTGACTTCATTCTGGAGCCGTACCAGGACTTTCTTTGCTGGAAGTCGCTGGGTAATTGCCACTTGAAAAGTCAAGCCATCGGGACCCCCCGTCTAAATATCTTGACCTACCTCTTCACGAGAGGCAGCTGCTCTCCTGGAAGCACCGGCGGGTTGTTGCTGTTTTGGTTTCGTGTCACAGCTTAGCGTGCATCTTACAGGAAATTCGCTATAGAATTTCATCCCATTACTTTTTTTTTTCATAAAGCAGACACTTCCAGCGGATTGAATTCAGAGTTTGCTGCTGGGATAATTGCAGCCCTTAAAGAAGCAGCCTGCATTGTCAGATGGCTTCTCCTAGGCTCACTTACCCCATAACTCATCTCCAGGGCTTTGTAAAATGTGCTGTTACGGGGAGCTTCCATGGGAACGGCATGTCTTTTTTTTTTTTTTAGGATCTCTACATGAATGATTTTGTTGTTTTTATTTTTCTGCGTGCTGATTACAAACATCTTTGTGTGCCCCGCTGTCCGGTCTCTGTGAACTTAAGCACTAAGAGTCTGCCCTAAACAAACACGGCACAGTAACACCTGCTTCGTGTCCCAGCCCGATTTCTTTTTGGTAGGAGCGCATCCAAGGCTTTGGTAAAATTACAGGCGCTCCAGATGTGTGTGCCGCTGTCAGCTGCCCTAAGTGAAATCATTGTTTATTGACAGGTTCCCAGGAGTCAGACAGCTCTCAGTCCGCCAAGAAAGACATGCTGGCCGCCCTGAAATCCAGGCAGGAGGCTTTGGAAGAGACGCTGCGCCAGCGCTTGGAAGAGCTGAAGAAGCTGTGTCTCCGAGAAGCGGTAGGCAACACGTGTTTTATAGCTCCCTGCACTTCGTTCCTTGCATGCATTTTGTTTGGAGGTGCTGCGGGGGCAGAAGCAGCAATTCCTCTTCCAAAACCCGTGGTCCAAAAGCTTCAGCAAGGTCCAGCTGTTTCAAATCCGGATTGCAATGTCACGGGGCATTGCCCTCCAAGGGGAACCCCAGGGCTACCCAGTTGGTTTGGGGGGCTGGAGGGTGCAGAGCAGCCCCGGCTGCTGTTTGAAGATGTGTTTCAGATGCATTCAGACAGGCTTCTTGCTGGCTTTGGTGGGAATATGCTACCTAAATGCCATAAGAAGGCTGTTCTGTGCACTGCTAATCACTCCTCAAATACTTTTGATTACATTTTCCAAAAAAAATACCTGCCCTTGCACTCTCTTCATGGAGCAGGCTGGACTTTCTGTGCTTTTCTTCTCCCAGCATACTCGGTTATACAGTACTTGAGGTCTTTTCTGCTCCGTGTAGTTCCCTTCTCCATGTAGATCCTTCAGGTAAGCCCTGGCACTGCTGGAGAGGAAAGGCAGATCCTATAAAAAGGGACCACTGTGGTCATCCTGGGGATGGAATTCATCCCCATAACCATCCCACTCCCCTGCCTCTTCGTTCTGGGAGTACACAGGGGACTGGTTTTCAATTTTGGGATATCAAAAGCCTGCTGCAGTTGCGTGTAGGGACACAATTCAGCAGAAGCATTTACTTGGGTCATTCAGCAGCCCTCCCGTGTTCACCAGGCCTGCAAATCTGAATTCAACAACAAATAGTGATGTCGAACACAACAGGAAGCTGGCTGCAGACAGCAGCACCAAGATCTCTGAGCTGCTGATTAATATTTGATGTGTACCTTGCCTCAGACAAAAATGGGGGAAATAGGTCACTGCTTCTGCTTTTGTACTTCAATTTGTCGGTAGTTTTAGTGCCACCAACACCTCACAACAAAGAAATTCAGCAGGAATCTTTGTAGCTCCAAATTCCTCTCCTTTATTCACCACGAGCAATCCTTTCAGCCAACTCGTGCTGATGATCCAGGTCAGGAGGAGGAGATGCAGTCTCATAAACCCCTCGAGCACAGAGCTAAGATCACCCATAGGAAGCAGTGAGATGTTTTGGGGGCTGCTGGACGAGGTGTGGAGCAATTTACCACCCCAAGGTAACACTGCCTGGGGCTAATGCCATGCAGCAGCATGCACAGAGGGGAAGATTTGGACAGGAGCTCACAGCCCCGTGCCTTTTAACCCCAGCCCCATCCACGCTGAGCAACTCAGCCACATCCCAGGCCAGATGGGCTGGCCAGAGCCCATCTGTCAGCACCTGAAGAGCTGTTGGAAATGTTTCTGCTTTCCGTGGATGAGCCCAGAGAGGCAGCTGATGGGCACTTGGGACCTGACCCAGTCTTGCAGCCCTTGTCCATCAGCAGCCTGCAGCTGGGAGGGTTCCTGCCCACGGTCCTATGGCACGGGAATGGCCAAAACAGAGGGGGAAAGAGAACCAGGGGATAAAAAAAGGGTTAAAAGTGGGGGCATAATCAAATAAGCATGGCCAGAGCCATTCCTAGCAGTGGCATCAGGTTACTCCAGGCCATCAGCACTCCGGTTACTTATTAATTTGGATTACATTTCAGGCCTCTGCCTGTGAATACTTTGCAGCTTATGGAGGCAGCCTGGTAGCCTGCATTCATTTTGTTCTGCCCCAGTCCTGAGCTTTTTACGGGAGATGTTAACCCCTTCCCTGCTGCCCTGCTTGGTATTACCTTCGGGGTTACAAAGAAAATAATCCTTGCTTCCCTCAGCAAGGGAGACACGAAGCTGTGCCTCCACGCAGTGCCTCAAGCCCCGTCACACCAGAGGGAACAGGACGCAGAAGAAAAGCTGAAATAACCCCACGGGGCTGGGCAGACAACCCCAAACGGGGCACACGAGGAAAGAAAAACCCCATTAAGGAGTGGGGGGAGAGGCCGGGGCGGGCAGGGGCCTGAGCTGGGTGCTCACACGAAGGTCAGCTGCTGCTCCGTGGGATTGGGATGATTTCGGCTGCTCTGCCAGCTGGATCCTCTCAAGGCTGATGCCAAAGAACACAAAGGCCTTTTGTGTCCTTCATGGGGAGACTGGGGAGGACAAGGAGCCGGGCTGTTCTCCTCACGAGGCTCCTGCCTTTTTTTTTTTGTAGGCATTTGAATGCCTTTAATTCCGATGTGTGTGGCTGTATTGTGCAGACCAGGAAAAAAATATATAAATTAAAAAAAAAAAAAGCAGATTTCACATCAGTATTGGTGCTCGCTGCTTCCACGGATATTCCTCAGCGGGCTTTGCTTCGGGTTTTGAGCAAACCTTTGCAAACGACCCCAGCAGGCTGACAAAGCATCACCTCATACCCCTCCAAAGCTGCCCCTGCCATCACCAGGCACCGCTTCCAGCGCCTCTTTGCCCTGTGTTCCTCCCGAGCACATCACGAAGCAGGTTGGGAATGGCTTTCCTCTGCAGGTCGTAACCTGCACAGCTGGTGCCAGCGGGGCTTTCTGGTGCAGCAGGCGCGCATCCTGCTCTCAGGTGTGCTCCCCCCCCTTCCAGCAGCAGTCCAGCAGCGAGCACCTCTTTATTTTTCTTTCCTGCGAGCCCTGCAGCGGAGATGAAAGCCTGCGTGCTGCGATCTGCTCAGCCTCGGGCCCCGACGCCCTAGGGATGGGCACCACCTACGAACCTGCACTGGGCAGGCCACAAAATCCGTATTCATGCACGGGTTAAAGAAAAACACCTCCCCACCCTCAGCATCAGGTCCCGGACCGCAGGGTTGGGTGCTCTGCTGGGTGTTTATCAGCCGGCTGGGCTGGATCTGTCATTCTACAGCCAGGGTTGAAGGGCTGTGGGGTGTTTTGCAGGGACAGGGCTCTGCTGCAGCATCTCCAGGGTGGCTAACAGCGTTTTCTGCTTGCAGGAGCTGACGGGAAAGCTGCCACGAGAATACCCCCTGGATCCCGGGGAGGAGCCACCTATTGTAAGGAGAAGAATAGGAACTGCCTTCAAGCTGGACGAGCAGAAAATCCTGCCGAAGGGAGAGGTGAGGCTTGGTCCTGCCCTTCCAGACCCCTCGGGGTCTCTGCGACACCCGCTGTGCATCACGGAGGAGCCAAAATGTTGTTGTTGTAAACGACCGCAGTTGGTCACGGTGCCTTTTTTTAGTTCCCATCAGAAAAAATGAAGCAGAGAGAGGATTGTTTCCCTTAGGCCAAGCTCAGAATAAAGCTCAAACCCTCCGGGCTCAGCCCTGGCTGTGCCAGAGGTACCAGGAACAGCCGGGGTGATCAACCAGGAGCACATCAGGAGCCCCCTGAGCCCTCCGAGCCCTGCTGCTGCCCCGTGGTGTTGTCACAAAAATGCAACTTGCTTTCTGATCCCAGTTCAGCTCTCCCCTAACAGAGCGAAAAGCATCGCAGTTCCCCATCGCAGCCCCGCAGCAGCAGAAGGAAAGCATTTTGCTCCTCAAACAAAAGAGCCTTCGTCCCTACCTATGGGGAGCTGGAACGATGTTTTGCTAAGTTTGCCAGGGAGTGTTTGTTCTTTTCCCTCGCTCCCACAATGTGCTGGGTCAGTGCCCTGAACCGTGGCTGTGAAAACAGGCCCGCAGCAGCTGGGAGGCGGGACCGGATTCACAGAAAAGCCATTGTCTGCGGAGAGGCATTTGTCTCAAGACACTTGTGTGTACTCCAGTTTTGAGTTTCCTTTTTATTTTTGTAAGAGGAGAGGCTGAAGCTGGTGTGACCGCGTGGGTTAAGGCTCGGCTCAGGCAGGGAATTAACTGTTTGGCGTTTTGTTGGCGTTTTCCTCCGGCTGAAAAAAAATAAACAGCTGGAGCTCCTTAGTTTGGTTCTCAATGGAGCCTGGGAGAGGAATTCCTCCCAAGTCAAATATTCATGAACGAGCACATTTAATTAAGCTTTTCAAAGGGAGGCACAGCGTAGCTGAGTTACTCCTAAAAGCCCTGCAGTCTGTTGGCTGCTCTGCTATAACCCGATCCCCAGCTTCCCCACATCTCTCCTGCTACGAGGCAGCTTTTGGGGCCGCTGGGTGAGGAATCTCCTCACTCCTCTGCGAGGCTTGGGTTGAGCAGCAGGAACGGCACGAAGGTAAAGCAGCTCCTCCCCGCTGCCTTTTGGCAGCAGCAATCCAAACACGCTGACTCAGCTTCCCTCCGTCCCCTTTTTCATCTGTCAAACTTTAGGACTGCGTTGAAAAGCCTAAATTTCTGTTCTCGAAGAATAATGTTGGGCTGTGTTTATTTGGCTGCTGGTTTGAGAACGTTTAGAGAGAGGCCAGTGTTGATTTTCGTGGGCTTTTCAGCAAGTGCAAACACTGGAAACTCCATTTAAAACAAGGGTGAAATTCTTCCCTGGTTCCATAAATCCAGGACTGAAATTACAGGACCTGAAGCAAGGCTCTTCCATCCGAAGGTAGATGATAGCCCTCATCTCCTAAGGCCTTATTTATAGGGGCTTCGCTGGATGAAAAGAGACAATTATGGCTGGGAAGAAAATTAAGACCTTTTTTTCTCAGATATTCTGAGTGATTTAGCACTGAATCAGTGAAGGGCTGAAATGACAGCTCACGCCAAACTCCCAGTAACTTCAGTGAGAGCTTTGTCAGAGCGTGGACTGCAGAGGAGGCTTCTACTGCATTTCTTGGTGATCACCTCCACCAGGTCCACAATTCCCAGCCCCAGGAAGGCAGCGAACCAGGCTGCAGACCATAAAACCCCCTTCTTCAAATTCACTTTTAATAAGCTCGGCGTTGGTAGAGCTTCAAAGGGCTCCGTTAAAAAGATGGGGGTGGGCTCAGTCTTTCCAAAACACTCATTGTAGTTTCAAGGCAATGCTGACTCACCCCAACAGCAAAGCGCTTTTTGCAAGCCAGGAGCCCCAAATACAAACTTGAGGGAATGATTTCCACCTGATTCATTCCCACAGCATCCGTCCTTGCAGCGTGTGCTACTGCTAAGAGAAAGGGTTTGGATTTGCGTAACGAGGATCTCCACGAACACGTGTCTGAACACCCACAGCTCACTAGAAGAACTTGGCTTTTTTTTTTTCCCCTGTTTTGTGATGTATCCTGTTCCCCTTTCGAGCAGACCAATGCCAAAAGCTCCGTGGAGCTGGGCAAGGCAGCCAAATTCAGTACAGATAGCGAGTGCCTCTGAAGATCACAGCTTGGGGTCCCGGTGCAGGCCAAGCCAAAGCAGCTTCGGCATTTATTGACCCAGATCCTTGGGCTTTGGAGCGTGACTACAGAGCAGTAGGTAGCTTCCAGGGGACACCTGTTTGCATTTAGGACTGTATCGACCGGTGCTGGATACACAAGCCCTTTTTGGCACGCAGGCAGCCTGCTGCTAGACGCTGATTGCTCCAAAATCCCCCTCCTGGCTCGTAACTGGAGGAGGCAATTTTCTGGGGCAATCAGTTACGGCAGCCCATAATTAGCTCAGCTCCTGCCCTCCCCAGATTTTAGCAGCCGTGCACCAGGGAGGAATTAGCCCATCTTCACCTTCTTCTTTAACCCAGACGGGTCGGTGGGTGCCAAGCCTGTCAAGAAGGTTAAAATCGTAGCTTAGCAGCTATGCACAGCTCTGCTGTCAAACAAGGCTTAAATATGGAGCTAGGAAAGGGAGAAGGAGTGAGCAGGAGGCAGAAACTCCCAGAACGGTGGGTGGGTACACTTGGGGAGGCCCTGAGATGAGAGGAGCAGCACGATGGTGGATGCTTTCCCTGGCCGTGTTCAGGGGGAGCTTCCCAAGAGCCTGGCCAGGTGGGTTTTTTGGTGGCAGCCCCAAAATCTGCTTTCATTTTCCCAGGAGGCAGAGCTGGAGCGCCTGGAGAGGGAGTTTGCCATTCAGTCCCAGATCACGGAGGCCGCCCGGCGCCTGGCGAGCGACCCGAACGTCAGCAAAAAGCTGAAGAAGCAGAGGAAGACGTCCTACCTGAACGCGCTGAAGAAGCTGCAGGAGATAGAGAACGCCATCAACGAGTATCGCATCAAGTCGGGCAAGAAGCCGACCCAGAGAGCCTCCTTGATCATAGATGGTAAGTCACAGCACCCGCAGCACCACCAAAGGCTCCATCTCCTGTTTGGGGCATGAATTTCCCTTCCTTCTTCTTCTCCCTCTGTGTTCTGGAGGGCTCCAGGGGTGCTGGCAGTCGGGCTGTCCTTGCCCATAGCTTTGTGCTCTCAAATGTTTGGGTTTCCAGATGCCCAGAGATGAAACCTGTGTTCGAGATGTGCTGGTTCACGGCACAAGAGGCAGTGTCACGCTGTGGATTACACACACGTCCCCAAAGCAGACCCTGACGCCTTTGTTCACCCATAAACTCGCTCTGTTAACGTCTCCTCCAGAGCGGTGCTGAACAAATGTAATTAACAGGAGCAGATTGGGGTGAGCTCTCTAGCTGAAAGGCATCTGTAAAATCAGAGTGGGAGCAGGGGCATCGCTGTGCTCAAATACTTTCTTCTTTTTCTTTTTCTTTCTTGTTTTACAATATAATTCTCAGGGCGCTTCATGGTTTACTGGGTTGTTGATTGTTTTTTTCATGAAATCCATTAACTTGCTGCTGTCAGTCTTTCTCCCTTGCTGATTTTGCCCTTTCCCTTTGACTTGCGGAGTTGTTTTTTTTTTTTCCTGTGCCTTTGTAGCGGGAACTGAGATGAGAGCTGCTGTATTTGTGACCTGGGCACCAAGCTGCACCGCAGCCAGGGATAACAGACAGGATGTGGATGGGGGAGGCAGCCCAAAGATGTATGCCAAGGACACCAGAGCTTCTCCATCTGCTGCCACGGAGGATGCTCAGGAAGCGTTTCCCCCAGATCACACAGAATGGGTGCCTAGCGTGGGCCTTCAGTTTGATCGTTGTAGAAAGGCAGAGATGAAACTCAGAGTCTTAAACCCGAGCTCTTCAGCAGATAGCAATCTGGCTGATGTCCCATTGCCATTTCACATCCTCTGGGGGATCTCAGCTCTCTGTTGTGACTCACTCTTAATCCCAGTTAATTGAAAAGAGTTAGCAGCTCCTCGAGCGGCAGCCTGCTGCTGAGAGCCCTGCCCTGCAGCTCTGCCCTCTGAGACGGAGCGTGGGCTGAGCCGGTTATTTCTAGGAAGCTTCTTGCCTTAGGAGGATGTGGGTGAGTGCTCAAGGCTGCGAGTCGGTGGAAGGTGACGGTGCCATTCACCCTGTGATTCTCACGACCCCCTGACCATCTTTGTTTTTTCTCCTCAGAAGGAAACATCGCCAGTGAGGACAGCTCCCTCTCGGATGCCCTTGTTCTGGAGGATGGTACGTTGGCTGCTCGAAAGGGCAGGAAGGGAATGGGGAGGGCTGTGTGAATTCCTGCTTCGTGCTCCAAATGGAGCAACTATTCTGTGTGATGACCCACCCAAACTTCCCAGTCCCAAAACCACTCCACCCTGCCCCGTAAAGCACCGCTGGAACCGAGCATGCCACACAACCACCACCTCTTCCCCTTCTTCTCTCCACAGAGGACTCCCAGGTCACCAGCACAATCTCCCCTCTCCAGTCCCCGCACAAAGGCCTGCCGCCCCGGCCGCCCTTGCACAACAGGCCGCCCCCTCCGCAGTCTCTGGAGGGGCTGCGCCAGATGCATTACCACCGCAACGACTACGACAAGTCCCCCATCAAGCCCAAGATGTGGAGCGAGTCGTCCCTGGACGAACCCTACGAGAAGGTGAAGAAACGCTCCTCCCACGGCCATGCCAGGTGAGCCGGCTGCCTCCCGGCCCCGCCACGCGGGCGTCTCCTTTTGGAGAGGTCCTCACAAAGATGTCCCTCGGCAAAAGGAGAATTTGGGGCTTTTTGGTTAACATGACATAAAAAGTAGGCTGCAGTCACATGAGTGCTGCCTGGTATCTCGTTTTTTTAAAGCACTAATGAGGAAGGAAGGACAGGGGATTGTCTCAGGGCTGTGGGATGTGACTCAGAGCAACATCTGACCCCGCTCCCACTCACCCCAGGAGATCGCAGGCACGTGCCTGAGACCCCAGGTGAGGCAGGGAGCCCTTTCCCCAAACCCCAGCCCAGGAACTGAAGCCGGGTGCTTGCCTTGCAGCAGCCACAAGCGGTTCCCCAGCACCGGGAGCTGTGCTGAGGCAGGAGGGAGCAGCTCCCTGCAGAACAGCCCCATCCGGAGCCTTCCCCACTGGAACTCCCAGTCCAGCATGCCCTCGACGCCGGACCTCCGGGTGCGCAGCCCCCACTACGTCCACTCCACGCGGTAAGTCCTCCCAGCACCACAACGCTGCCACCTTGCTTGCCCCGAAATAATCCTTCCCTGAGGATATCCAGTGATTCCCAGTTCAGGAAAGGACACAGACCAGTCCTTTTCACACCGAGAGGCTCACGTAGCACTGCCAGCAGGAAATCTCTGCTGAGCTGAGATCTGAAATCCCTTCAGATCAACGTGATCCTGCCCCTCATCCCCCGCCCTCACAGTAATGGAGCTTTTCTTCTTATGGGATGTTTCATCCCAGTTGCTGCCCTACAATCCCCACATGGCCCAACTTCCAGAAGGGACGCGATGCTGCTGCTAAACTGCAGTGAATTCCTTCACGGATCCAGCTGGAGATAACGCATTGCTTCCTTTCCCATCGGAAATGTTGGGTTGTGTTAATTCTCTCTCATGGTGGCATGTAAAATGTTTGCACGGGTGTGATCTCCTGGGGAAAGAGGCTGTACAAAGCAATCCCAAGGTCTGCACACTCGAGGATCCAGGTGGTTGACAGAAAAAGGCTTAACATCTCAGCATAAGGGAGGTGATTTGATATGCGTGGCCCAATTTGCCTGCTTTTTAGCAGGAACTGTTCAGCTTTGTTGTTTCTTGCTCCCGTGGCAAACCCCACAAATGCTCAGAGAAGCAGAGCTGAGCCAAAGCTGCGTGCTGCAAGCTGTCCTGCCCTGAGGGGTGCTGCTAACCGAGGCCCTGGGTTGCTTTCGTTACGAGCTTTTGGCTGAAAGCACCTGTCAAGAGCACAATGTTTGTTAAGACCAGAGCTGAGCTGCGTGAGAAACCAGCCTGGCACGGGGCTTGAGAAGGGGCCTGGAGCAGGTGGGGGCTGTCTGGGTGCTCAGAACAACCCAGCCTTGGCTGCCTGTTGTTTTTTTTTGGGGGTGTGACTTGTCCGAGGGCGGCGTTGCTGCTCCTGCAGCGGGTGGCTGCAGCTCTCCAAGCGGCCAGGATGAATGGAGACCACCCAGGCTTGGCCACGGATCCAAGCCCTGGAAATTTGCGATTCGGGACGGGTGCCTGGATGGCTGTCACCCTCTGACAGCCTTACCCAGCAAAAACCCAGCTGCTTCCCAAAGCTGCCGTTCTCCAAGGCCACAACCTGCTGCATTTTGGGGCTAAATACAGCCAGTTTGTCTGTCTGTCCTGCCACTAATGGGAGAAACACCCAGGGGATTCACACACCAGGATGGGGCTGGTTCACACCCACAAAGCTTGAGGTCCCCACAGCCTCAGATGGGAGCAGCCACCGAGGAATTGGGTTTGGGAAGGGTTTGTGTCCCACATGGTGCTGCAGAGTGAATGCCACCAGCAGGGAGACCAGGCAGGAGCAGGAGCTGGACCTCACTGCCCCAAGCCCACAGCAGGGAAGCAGTTGTCCTGCCGCCCCTGAAAAGGTCCAAATTTTTGGTGTTGCCTTGCAAGCGAGGCCGGATTGGTGTGTGGAAGGGGAGAGGGAGCGTTTTGTCCTCGTGCCTTACCAGCTTGCCTCTCTCTCTGGTCCCTTCAGGTCAGTAGACATCAGCCCGACCAGGCTGCACAGCCTCGCCCAGCACTTTAGACACCGGAGCTCCAGTTTGGAGTCACAAGGCAAGCTCCTCGGCTCAGAAAACGAGACGGGGAGCCCCGATTTCTACACCCCAAGGACTCGTAGCAGTAACGGCTCCGACCCCATGGACGACTGCTCGTCCTGCACCAGCCACTCCAGCTCCGAGCACTACTACCCTGCTCAGATGAACCCCAACTATTCCACCCTGGCCGAGGACTCCCCGTCGAAAGCCAGAGAGCGCCAGAGGCAGAGGCACAAATCGGCGGGCAACCTGGTCTCCTCCAACTCGGGGAGCATGCCCAACCTGGCCGCGAGGAATGGCACGGGGCACCACCGGGTCTACCTGCACAGCCAGAGCCAACCCTCTTCCCAGTACAGGATCAAGGAGTACCCCCTGTACATTGAGGGCAGCTCCACCCCCGTGGTGGTGCGCAGCCTGGAGAACGACCAGGAGGGCCACTACAGCGTGAAAGCACAATTCAAAACCTCCAACTCCTACACGGCGGGGGGGATGTTTAAGGAGAACTGGCACGGGGATGAAGCAGACTCCGTGCGGCTCACCCCGTCCCGCTCCCAGATCATAAGGACTCCGTCCCTGGGCAGGGAGGGCCACGAGAAGGGCTCGGGTAGGACTGCCGTGTCGGACGAGCTGCGGCTCTGGTACCAGCGCTCCACAGGCCTCCCACAAGGAGCACAGCCGCCTCTCGCACACCAGCTCCACGTCCTCGGACAGCAGCTCCCAGTACAGCACGTCTTCGCAAAGCACCTTTGTGGCGCACAGCAGGGTCACGAGAATGCCTCAGATGTGTAAAGCGACGTCAGGTGAGAGCCCGTGGGGAGGCGGCGTGAAAAACGAGGCGTGGGGAAGGTGAAAAGTTACAGGGCGAGCATCCCAGGGCCCTCTGCCCGCCCCAAAAATGTTTGCACGGTGGCATCGCTGGGCTCTGCTGGTGTTTGGCTTTCCCGTGGGACTCCAGTAGCTGTGCTGAGAGCGTTGTGAAATTCAGAGTGCTCCAGTTTGGGCAGTAATTTACCTCCCTGTCACACACAGAGCTCTGCTGTTAATATTAACCGAGGAAACATTCCGAGTCCTGAACCTGCAGACACCGCTGGGTGCTGTGGAACAGGCCAAGGTTAAATATTTGCTGGCCATCACTCACCAGCAGACAATCCCATTTGGATGGATCAAGGACGTGCCTAAAACTTGAACCCAGATGGGAGAGCTGGTTGAGCAGATTCAGTGCCATGCCTGTCCCTTGCTTGCCCCATGCCTGTCACCGCTGCCCCAGCCTCACCTGCCCCTTGGAGCAGACCAGGAGCTCACCTCGGGGGCTGCTGGCTGCGGGGAGCAGATGAAAATTTGTTTAAAAGCGCCCTTTGGCAGCAGCTAAGGAAATGAACAGTGCAGGAGAGGGGTGCCAGGTGGAGACACCCATCGTGTAGCTGGTTTAGCTCTAGGTGGGAGGCCTGCTGGACTCCACGCTGTCCTTTAAATGAGGATTATACTCATAAAGTTGGAGGGTGAACTGAAGTTGGAGGCTTGAGCAGATTGGCCAGGTGGATTTCCAGCCCGTGACACACACACACACACACACACAGCAGCTCCGGGCAGAGCTGCTCCTGTCACACTTTGCCAGCTGGGTTCTGACTCCCAGCTGGACGCGTTCCTACGGGGTTGAAGCACCCTGACCCTCGCCCCCTCACCTCACCCTTTCTTTTTCTCCGCCCTGTGGTTGTTTTCCAGCTGCCTTACCTCACAGCCAGAGGAGTTCGACGCCATCGAGCGAGCTGGCGGCCACGCCGCCGGGCAGCCCCCACCACATTCTCGCCTGGCAGACCGGGTGAGTGTCCGCAGGGCTGGCTTTGGGGACTCATCTCCTTCACTGCAGGAAGCCAAAAATCCCATGAGCTTCGGGAAAAAACCTCCCCAAACACACAGACATGCTTTTTCCTACACCCACTGCTCTCCTTCTGACCGAGACCTTTGCTCTGAAGGCCCGGCGAGGCGCCTGCCCTATTTGTGTGTGCAGCAACCACGTTTTTCTGCTAGGTTTTCCCCAGCAATGTGACCGAATGACCATCAAGTTCCTCTTTTTTCTCAGCTACCACTAACTTCATGCACTGCACCAAAGCATGAGTGGGTCCCTGCATGCGGGTAGCCACTGCTCACATCAGTTTGGGAGTTGGGTTCTTAGGTACCTCTGTGCAAGGCGAGGGGTTCGAGGAGCAAACAAGAATCCTCTTGTGAGCTCCCATGGGTATTCTCTAGCAATCTCCTGCCGTTCTGTCCTGTCACATGAAATACAGCTCATCTCCAGATCCTGTCTAACCCAGCATGTCCCAAATTTTTGCAACTCAGTTGAATTTGGCAGAGAAAGCTTCTCTTTCTCTTCTCTGTGAGATAGTTTCAGGCTAAAATCCTCAAAACACTACAGGCCCTAGCACAGGAAAACAGGTCGGATCCCCTGAGTTGTGGCTGGGGACCCATGGAGTGAACTCCACCAACATTTCACTTTGCAGCCACTGAAAAAAAAAACACCTCACCTGTTTAATTTCTTTGGCCACCTGTGGCCAAGTTTGCCCTCTGGTCTTATTCCAGCACTGCCCGTGACTGCACTTTTAAAATGGAGATGAGGCGAGCTGTAACCACGAGCCCTGCAGGCCCTCGTTGAATTTTAAATTCACCCCGCTGACATCCAGCCTCACGTGGGCTCTGTGTTTGCTCCCAGCTTTAGAAGCAGGGAATTTTCCAGGTCCCATTTCACAAAAAGCCAGGGTAGGATCAGCGAAATGGCAGCTACCGTGCCTGCACACCGACATTCCCCCTGTAAGGGTTTGAAGCTAGGCTCAGTCTCCATCTCCATCCCAATCCTAAATCCTTTGAATTTCTCCATGGTAAATAACCAAGAGTAAACCTGGCTAGCGGCCAGCTGAGAAACCTGTTTAAAAATCCCCAACTTCTCCCATTTTCCCATTCAGGAGCCCTCCTGCGCCCCACCTCTCCCAGCAAAACACCAAAATCTTAGCTGGCGAACGTGAAGTCACCAGGATTTATAGCTCAGGCCCTGCCCCAACAACCAGCGCAGAAGGAACTGGAGATAAATCAGTGCTTGCTTCACACTGGAGCTTAACTCCCCAAACACATGGATAAATATGGCAGGGGCAGATAGAGCTCGCCATGAGAAGCACAACACAACATCCCCCACCCCACAGGAACAGGTTGTTCCCTCCCAGCACCAATTAAAAGATTTACAGCTCTCCCCGACGTGTTTTTGTGTCGCTAACCCTTTCTCTGGAGATGATTCACCAGCTCGTTTCCCCGCTGGATTAATAAGCTCGTAACAATGTCCGTGTCACTTCTTTTCTTTAACATTTCCTCTCTCCTCTTTCCTCCTTGTTTTTTTTCTCCGCTCTCCTTTGTTCAGAGAAGCAACAGACAACTCACCCACTATGGATGAGTCTCAGTCTCCAACCCACCAAAGTACTGATGAATAGAGGTATAGTAAGGGAATGTTTTGTTCTTTCACCCCTCTGCCCTACAGCCTGTGGGCCACGACCACAATGCAAAGAACCAACCCCCAGAAGCAGCCTTTTTTAAGTCGTGTGCCTGTTCGTTTGGCCTCAAAGCTTCCTTCGGCTCTCGGAAGAACAACTTGAAAGCATCTTGGAGCCCTGCCTGTGCCTCTTCAGCGAGTTTGTGGCTGCTGGGCTTTTTTTCCCCAGAGAAAGAGGGCTTCTTCCTCACCCCAAATGGGCTGGGGGCCAGCAGCAGAGGCTGAGCAGGCACAGGGAGCGGGCAGCAGGGACAAATTCACGGCTGGGGGTGTTTCAGAGCAGTGTGGGGAGGCTCTGGGAGCACCGTGGTGGGGAGATGAGCACAGGTGACCAGGATGGAGCTGCCAGCAGCGCTCCAGCCTGGCACCAGGTGCCCTTTTCTCCTCTGTCCCTGCCGCAGAGGGGAGCTGCGAGGCTTCACGGAGCGAGGAGCAGCCCTGGCCCGCTTCCTGTGGGAAGACAGAGGGGGAAGGGTGGAGGGAACAAAAAACCCTCCCAGTTAGTCTGTTTTAATTAAACTGCAGCCACTGTCTGGCACTCTCGTTTGAATCTGCAGCCATTCACAGCTGGCATCTGGCGAGTATTTCAAGCCTGGCTTTCTAGAGCTAACCCACAGAGCTCCGGCACGGAGCTGGGAGACAAAAGGCTCTTTAAGGGGCAGCAGGGGTTGGCCTTGCTCAGGTTCCCTCCATCTCAACAATATTTTGACCTCAGGGTTTTCTCCAGGCAAGGAGCTCCGCAGCCTAAGCTGGGAGCCGACCTTGATCTGAGCCTGGAGAGCAAATTCCCCTGAAATCCCTCCCGGGCTCTGTGCAAGCAACCAAAAAGCCATGTGGCAAATGACCCCATAGCTTGCCACGAGAGGTGCTGCGAGACGAGAACCGGGCTACTTGAGGCAAAATGTGGGCTACCCCCCAGCACGCCTCTCCCTCGCCACCCGGTTTTGCTGTTCCTACCCCGTAACCCCGGGGCTGCCGGGCGATGCGGAGCCTCCACCCCAAAGATGGGCTCTGAGATCCTCCCCACCCGCAGCCCGATGCTTTCTGCGAGCCCTGGCTGCCCCTAACCCAGTTCCCTTTCTCCCGCAGGAGCTACACCGATAGCTGTTTCCTGGATCCTCCCCTCTATCCAGAACTAGCAGACGTCCAGTGGTATGGACAGGAAAAAGCCAAGCCTGGGACTCTAGTGTGAACCCCTGACCTCAAGCGAATCCCATCGACGCCATTCGGAGCTCACCTCACTGCCTCTCATTTGCCTTACCCAGATGCACTGTCACCCAGCACCAGCTTCAACTCTTTAAGCACTTTTCTCACGATGCAATTCGACATTTCGGTAACATTTGGCCCCGAGACATCCACCACGACCGCGGCAGCGCCTCCCTTTGCCAGACTGCTGCTCGTCCCTCCCGGAGCCCGCAGGGCAGCGGATGCGTGGAGCAGCCAGTCGGCAATTTAAAAGCTGGTTTTCCTTCTAAACGATGGAAACAAATCTTACTGCTCTGTGGCACGTACCAGCAGTAAGACGTCCATGACCTGCGATCCGAAGCCAACACAGCATCGGTTTCAACGGGGTGGGGGGTGGGTTTGACACAAAACAGGACAGAAGCTGAGAAATACTCCTTGAAAACGCTTCTTTTAAGGAAAAAGTGAAATCCTGACACTTCAGAGATGTGTCAGAGTGCCACAATCAGGTCTGCGCTGCCCAAAATCACCGAACCCACGTCAGCGGGGTGAGTTTGTCCAGCAGGGCCCTGCTCCGGGAGCATCTCATTCGCCTCGACGCCAGCCACGAGCACCTCCTGGCGAGCAGCTTCTCCTTCGTTTCTTTGAGCCCATCTTGACAGCAGCAACCAAACCCCACGTGCCGAAGACCCACTGGAGGTCTGGGCTGGTAGCACAGCATCTATGAGCTGCAATTACAGCGGGCAAACGAGGTTCACAGAGGCATTAATTACAGCAGAGGCGAGTGCTGTGACTCAGCACAGCTCTGCGACCGGCACAGATTCCTTACCAACACCTAGCGAGGTTGGGGTGGGGGTGATTTTTTTATTTTTTTTTCCCAATACTCCGATGAAGATCCAAATTGCCAAATTCTCCAAGCAGACACAGCCAATAAATCCTGATGGAGCTCCGCACGGAAGCGCGACCGGCAAACCGAGCGGTGTAGCAAAGGGCTCAGCACCAGGCGGGGAGCAGCAGCAGGGCTTGCGGATTTCCTCGGGGCAAGAAGCAGCCCCAAGGAAGAGAAGGAAGGACAGGAGGTGCCGGGCACCTGCCGCCTGCTACCAGAAGGAAATCGGCCGCGAGAGTCGTGGAAGAAGCTGCAAGTTTACACGTACTTTGGAGCAATGCTTTATACACGTCAAGCCATGGAACTTTAAAAGGCCTCAAAGACACTTTTGTAACGAACCAGTGCACAATCTCTCTCTCTCTCTCTCTCTCTCGGTGGATGTCGAAGCTGGCACGTCTAGCCTTCACTGCGGTGCTATGCTGTTTTTATTGCCACTAGACGGGGGGGAGGTCCCTGCCCCCCGTTGGCGCGTGCAAACGATGATTTCCTATGGGAAAGGCATTACAGGAACGGCTGGAGGGGGGTTACTTTGCGAAAAGCAGAAACTGAAGTTAGCTTTAGTTTAAAAATAATTAAAAAAAAACAAAAACAAAAAACAAAACAGAAGTGTGAGTGTGCGTGCGCGTGTTCCAAGAGCAACAGCATCTACCAGACACGAGGAGGGCGAGGAGTTGAGAACGAAACCCCGCGACTCGGGGGCTGCCACACCTTTTGGTATGAAGCTTGCTGGAAAACTGCATTCCAGGCTTTCGAAAGAGAATGGGTTCTTCCTAATTAGATTTGGCAAGGTGAGGGGGTTTCTAAAAATTCCCGCAAGCTGCTCGTGCTAATTCCTTTCCCTGATAGGTGTAAGAAATGTGGGCTTCGCTCCCCAGCCCTCGCCCACTGGGCTGCTTGGGCAGAAACACCTGAGCTATTTGTCCAGAGCCAGGAAGGAAGCTCTTTAATGTCCACACATGAAGCATAAATGACTTATCCCTCTGAAATAATAATAATAATTAATTTTTAACACTGGCAAGAGGTTTTTAAAGGTAGCCACGCAAGCCTCGTGCTCCCAGACCTGCACAAAGATCCAGCAGGCGGCCGTGAGATCGCACCCCTTACCTGGATGTTGGAACAAAATCCTGTTTTATTTTAACATCCCTCTCTGCTCTGGGGTCTTTAGCATGGGAATTATTGTGAGCTCCTAGCTGGATTTTGAGCTGGGTAGGAGCTGGCACCGATCGCTGGCATGCGCTGGTAAGATTCTGGAGGTAAAATGAAAGGATTAAGTGAGGACCAAATTAAGCAGCAGCAGGTAATTCAGCCCACGGATTTTGAGGGGCTCTGAGCAACTGTCTGTTTTCTTTTTAATTTCCCTGGTTAAGTGGTTTCAGGTTTTGTTGTTGTTTTTTTTTTTTTTTCTGTGTACCTTCTTTTAATTAAAAAGAATTCAACAACAGCGGCACTACTGAGGCCTCTGGGCACTGCAGGAAGACACACTCATTCCTCCAAGCCCAGATCTGCAGTTTTGCAGCAAAGGTTAAGAGGTGGCAGCCCTGAAATTAGGAAAAAAACAACAAAAAAAAGAAATAAACGGTTAGCCTGAATTGCGAACAGGCTCGAGTAGAGAAGAAGCTTTCTAGAAACGGACTGAGTTTAGCTTTGTGTTCTGCTTTTCTGTTTTGCAATCAAGGCACACGTGAGCAGCCAGTCTGGTAGTAAAGACAGATTAAGTAAAACAGGTTTTACTGTTTAGCTCAATTCAATTAAACACAAATGTACATAAAATGTTAATCATGTGGGATTAACATATTTAAGTATAACACGGAGGGGTATATACATAGCTATTATATACAAGCACTTGACTACCAACTTAACCCCTCCTTTACCTTTTTTTTTTTTTTTAATTATTTTTCCAGGCTCCATCCGACATAAAGCCACAATTTCTTAGTCTCCACTGTCCGAAGCTACCCCTGTTCAGCCAGCAGCCCGGGGCACATCTGTGCGCCTGGCTCTGCTGCAAGGCAGGGTTTATTTTTAAATGCTCTTATATGCAGTCGCGTGTTGGAAATGTTGAAGCAGTCCCATTCGTTTTCACTCTGTCTTAGTTTTAGTTCCGGGCATAGCCGACCCCCCATTCAGGTGCTATCAGATGACCAGTTACTGCTTAGTTAACTAGGTGTAAAGTTTTACATATATATTAATGTCAATAGTTTTATTACGAGTTGTGTAAAATGGACTCTCTAGTTTAAAAAAAAGGAAAAACAACAAAAAAAAAAAAAAAGAAAAAAAATTAGGTCTCTCCTGAAATTGACTTTAGAGCATGTAAAATGATTTTACTGGATTCCGTTCAATTGTAACCAAGGACAAAAATCTGTATGTTGTAGAAAAAGCTGCAGAATTAAAGGAGATCTGCTTTTAATTTATTCTTTTTGTATTAAGAATTTGTATAGTTACCTTTACATTTTGCAGAACGGTGTTGTCAACACTTCCTTATTAAAGCATTTTCAAAATGAGCCTCGGCACTGATCCTTCCTGCGCGCGGCCACCGCGGGGTGCGGACACTCACACAGTTGCAGGGTTTCCAGGCAGGGACACACTGATTTTGCTGCAAAAAGTGCTGAGTATTCCCCCAAAAACCCAGCCCTGTACAGACCCCATGGGATTCGGGGCTCAGCAGATCCCTGCTGGCTGCACCCGAAGCGCTCTCTCGCGCGCTGGGCTCTGGGGATGGACGGGTAACTGGGAATAACCAAAATTAACGCTGCAGGAGGGGCCCTCCTGGCCCCTTCTGGCATTACAAGCAGCAAACAAGGCACTACAGGCACGTAACGACTCGCAGGAACAGGGACACAAGGCAGAAAGCCCACACTGCGGGAGCCTGTATGGGATCAGGCGGCCCCTTCCAGCTGTGGGAAGGGGTGGGGGAGCCGTAACGCACGGCTGGGGGCAGTAAAAAAAAAAAAAAAAAAAAGTCCTAAAAACACTCCTGACATTTCCATGGGGAACGCATGACTTCAGCCCCAGGCTACGAGTCATCGGATTCAGCAGAATTGTTTCCGGCTAAGGCGAAAATTATCAGAAACAAACATCTGGAGAAGCCCAGAGGGACAAGTCTTTGGGGTTTGGGCTGGCCGGTTGGTTAGAAGGCCCTATTAGCCAGTAGGGCCGGGTCTGGTCGCTGCAATTTGGGGCATTCCAGCTGCACAGAGCCTCAGACCGACGATGAGAAGCAGCAGCCCTGACACTGCTCCCCTCCGCCATCCCCCAGGGATGGAAGCGCCGTGAGAACGCGCTCATTTGCCTCAGTTCCCTGCACAGAGCCACTCCACAAATTGCAGGGGGATGAAGCTCTGCTGCCACGGGGCTTGTGCGAGCCATGAGGCTGCATTTCAGGGACTGTCCGCGAGCAGACACGCTGCTCAAATCGCATTCCTTAAACCTGATTAGCCCCAAACGTTCCAAACCCGAAATCCCGTCCCTACAGGAGGCGCATCCCCGTTCAAGCCGGTGCTCGGGGTGCCATTAAATTGTTCTTCAGTAATTAGCTCAAGAGTGGGAGGGGGGAAAAAAAGTCAGACTAATGCTATTATAGAGGCCCTGAGGAATCCAGTTCCCACTAAAGCAAATGTTACAGCGCTCCCCAAACCATCCCCTGGCTACTCCCTCGCTGCACTTTCCGAGGAAATTATGGCTCTTCTCAACAAGGGACGGCATCGTCTCGCAATTATTTAAAGAGTTCAGGACTCGAGGTCAGGTTAAAGATTTAGAAACGGCTCAGGAAATCATCTGGGCGGGGAGAGGGATAAAGTTGCGGTGTTGTAAACGTTTCCTGTTGTAATAATGCCTCTGAAGGACCTCTGTACGCTGCAGAAAAATCCCCAGATGCTGATGTTAATGAAACCCTTCCACGCTCTTGACATCTGCCCAGCTTCTCCCCACAAATCCCCGTCTGCTCCCCAAAGAGCCCTCCCCAGGCTCCAGTTAGATCTTGTCAGCCTCGTTTTTATTACTTCTCAACTGTTTAAGCTCTTGACATTTTCTTTGGGGTCAGACACTCCAGACTGCAACGTCTGAAACAGCCCTCGAGAACCCGGAGAGCCCCCAGAAGAACCTCAGCAGCTCCCCCAGACGCTCCCCCAGTCCCCAGCACCGCGTCTCACCGTGCCAGGGGACGTGGGGAGCACCAGATGACTCAGAAAAGCCACCACAAGCTACCAAATGCTAACCCCAGTTACTCAGCAGTTTGTTTGGAGCCTGACTTTACGTCCCAAAAGGCCTCTTTATGAGAAGGAACACCCACCTTAACACTGCTGCGGAGGTGCTGCTGTTCTTGTAATTACAAAAAACACAGGATTTCAGATTAGACTTTCAAGATGCACCACTAAAAATTGTCGGTGTTTCACTGCTCACACAGATTTAGAGCTCAGAAGCTGTAAGATTCCTGCCCGTTCCCAGACAAGATGCACAACGGCAAAGTGCTGCGGCTGCTACTCAACTGTACCTGGTCATGGGAGGTCCTAATTGTTTTCTCTGCGATGCCCCGTGGACTGAAATTTTCTCCAGATGTATAAAAACAGGATTTGAAAGCCTCAAGAGCCGTAAGATTACTTCCCCCAAGCCCAGAAGGTTTATATTAAAAATGCTATTACAAAAAAAAAAAAAAAAAGCCAAATCAGATGTATTCAAGATCAAAAACTCTTTCCACTGCAAGTGGCTGTATTTTTCAGCTGAGAAATATATAAACCTTTTTTTTTTTCTTGATAAATACCACATGAAAGATTAACCATTAAAGTCTTCATATTTACAGAAACAACCGAGATTCAGCTTTGACTGCTTCCCTCTAATCATCTACCCACATCAGCCTCCAGTGGGAAAGCTGCCAAAAACCTCCAACATCCAGCCCTGGCGGGGCTGAGTCTCACCTAAAGCTCTAGGATACAACAGCGAGGCTGAGCTCGGTCTATGCAGTTCCCCGAATAATAAATTGAAATAAAAGCAAGGGGCACAGTCAACACCCCCTAGTCATGGTCATCCCTCCTTCAGAAGCTCCTCTGCCGTGTACAGGATCTGTTTAGGATCTGTTCAGCATAAAGAATAGACCTAAAAAGGAATCTACAGAAGTGGGGCGTATTGAAAGGAAGCTGTAGATAAATCTGCTGCTTTATGGGTTTTCTGCAGAGCCCGCACGAAGTTTCTGTCGGTGCTCAAGCACAAACTGCTCCGATTCTTCCGCTCTCCCTGGATCTTGGAGATCAAAATGTGAGTCACGCCTGGCCTGCAGAGAGCCTTATAAAGCATTGTACTCCACACACTTCGATGGGTCTGTTGGGAAGTGCTTCTGGCAAATGGTCATGAGCCTCTTCAGCCCCTGGGAATCAACAAAACAAGGACAATTCTGTAATAAAACTGCCGTTGTCAAACAGGCTACAGTGACTGCTCAGCTTAACGTGAAGAATTAAAAACAAATGGCTGCTGTTCTGGTTTTTATTCGCTTGGTATTCCATTTTTATTAACCTTTCTCCCTGCAAAGTACTAAATATTACAAATATCCTCAACAAGGCTAAAGGCCAAGTGCTGCGCTTGGGGCACAACACCCGGGGGGAAGAGAGGCTGGAAAGCTGCCCAGCAGGAAAGGACCTGGGGGCGCTGGTCAACAGGAGCAGGGAAGTGATCGTCCCCTTGTGCACCTCAAATGTTGTGTTCAGGTTTGGGGCCCTCACTGCAAGAAGGAGGTGGAGCTGCTGGAGTGTGTGCAGAGAGGAGGTGTTGGTCTCTTTTCTCAGGTGACCAGTGATAGGACACAAGGAAGCAGTCTCAAGTTGCACCAGGATAGGTTTAGATTGGAAATTAGGAAGAATTTCTTCACAGAGAGGGTGGTCAAGCATTGGAATGGGCTGCCCAGGGAAGTGGTGCAGTCCCCATCCCTGGAGGTATTCAAGAGAGGTGTGGACGTGGCGCTGAGGGACACGGTTTAGTGATGGGACTCGGTAGGTCAGGTTGATGGTTGGACTTGATGATGCTGAAGGTCTTTTCCTACCTAGCTGATTTTAGGATTTCCAATATTGGAGGAGTTTGTGATTCTATAACCGAAGCAATTGGAAATTTCAACCTTCACGATATGTTTACATAGTGAGGAGTCACAGAAATGCTTTAATCCCTCTTCAGCATCAAGGTGGAAAACAGCATTACCGCAATAAATGATACTTAAAAGAACCCTGATTATTAAAAGAAAAACAGTTCTATAAGAGCAAAAAGCCACTTCTGACACCAAAACACGCTGCACAACTAAGGAGAAGAACCAGGTTTCTTTAGAAACTGAATGTCTTGCGAGCAGAGGTGTCACTCCTCCCCATATCATCACCCACCCTGCCCTGCGCAGTGGAGGCAAGCTTAAGAAGTAATCAAGAAGAAAGGCAGAACGGGGAATTTTTTCTCTAATGCTTTTAAAGCATCGATTGCCAAAAAACCTGACAGAACTCCTGTGGCTTTTTTCTTTCAAGTCATACATAGATGCCTAATAAAAAGAAGGAGAGCTGCTGTGGTAGCAGTGTAATTTTGCAACGACACTAACTCCACAGCAGCAGTCACGTGCCTGTCGTTATATCCTCCATCTGTGAGACAGCTCCTCGCTGTAAAGAAAACGATTAAGCAGAAGATGTTTTCCAGACTCCTGCCTGCACTGAAAAGGCAAAAGCATGTCCCAGCAGCGTACAGACTCGCTGTTTGGGATGTTGATTGCAGGTTCGTTGTGCATCAAGCTAACCTGATCCCAATTTCACTGCTGGGAGCACCAAGAATACTCCACGTGCTCTGTTTGAAGCAGAGCAGCTGAGTAAGCCCTTGCATTTAAAACCAACAAGAAGAACGTTAATGTTGAAAACCAACTTTGTATCAGCTCTGTAGGTTGTGTACTTCAGGAGTATTGATGAGAACTCACAGTGGGGAGATGAACGTGAAGATTTCCTTCACCAATGGATGCACTTTCAGGACAGAAGGGACAAATCGGGGAATTCATGTATGTTGTATCTTCCAGAGGGTATGTTAAGAGAGATCAAAAAACACTACAGAGTTGAGATCTTACTGCTAGAAGAGTGGTAAATGGGCACAGAGAGTTAATTATTCACCAAAATTAGAGAAGAACCATTAGAACCATGCTGAGGTCCACTACAACCTTCTTTCACAGTCCAAATCTCTTTTTTTTTTAACATAGCCTAACAAAAAACTATGTAGTCTATACAAGCTACTTCATCCATTAGATAACTCCCAGCAAGTATTAAACTAAGCAGAGCCTGTCTCTGAAGATGTGTAACCTGCACATCAGTTTTCACCTTGCAAAAGAATCGATCAAATTTGATTTGTTGGCTCTGTAAACATCTGGAGCTCCTCCTGACTTCACAACAGTATTTCCTCAGGTTGTGATATTAAAAACTCGAGCTGAAGATAAATCAAAGGTTATACTTGTAGCCTCAAAAAGAGAGTGGAGATAGAAGGGGAAGTTGTATTTTGCAAGCAA